TAATCGAAATAGAATGTGAAAAAATGATTTCGTAATTCTAAATAAAAGTAGAGGAAAATTGAACATCGTTTTTTCTGGATCAATCTATTAGTTGTAGAGATATACGTGAAAAGACTTTTATTTTATCAACATCATCCACTTATTAATCGTTTTCGATAAAAAAATATAGATTTTGTTCAAAAGTTTGTTCAAGTTTAAAAGAAAAGTATTTTTCTTGAAAATGAAAATTTAATTATTTACATAAAATAACTATGAAATTTGTTAATTATATTTCGTAGAAAATAGATATTATATGGAACAGATTTTTCTCAATGCAAGAATAAATATTAACAATTTCCAAATAGTCATTTTTCTTCTAATAAAAAGTACTTTAAGATGAAATAACAATTTAAAATAATTCTAAATATTTGTCTCAATTAAGAATTATTTTATGAATATATAAAGAAAAATATTTATTCTACGCGAGGAACTCTAATAATGCATAGTAATCTAGAGGAAACTTTCTTTTTTATTTGGAGTGATAGTAAAATGAAAACTCTATTTTCCTATGAGATATTTATATTAATACTCATTTAAAACAGAAAGACTAATGAGTATTTTTTGAATAACTTTTCATAGAAACAAGGAGAAAAGATGCAGTGTTCACTCTTCCACAGACTAGATGACGACACATGGAATGGTATATTTTTCTCTCAAATTTAAAAAGAGGTGCTGTGAAAAATGACATCTTTTTTTTTTGAGCATCAGTGTTAATGTAACCATCAGATATCATAATAAAATGTAAAAAAAAAATATATTTAAAATTTTCCCTTTTTTTTATTCTTTATCTCTATTTTAAGATGTGCAGTGCATGAGTTATTATTCAAGTTGACGGCGAATGCATTGTTTTTATCCGCCGTTTCATTCAATCATCGTTTGCTTGCTAGAATGGCGAGTGCACGATATGTAAGTTATGTTTACACATTCCAGATGAAAACAGACGAATTGAACATGAAATGTTTAAAGACGACAAAGATATCGTGCACTCCATATTCCATTGCGTGACAAACACCGGTTGTTATCGTGCGCTGCGTATTATCATTCCGTTATGTCGACGTCGTCTTTTATCGCGTCTTTCCGTCTTCATACCTTTTCTTTCTTCCGTTTCTTCTTGTTCTTCGTAACAGAAGAATAAAAATAATTTTCTAACTAATGGAGCTTTTGAGGGTGGCTCTAAAAGAAATGAACATTCCCAGGGATATCCGACGTTCTGTTGGTGACCCGTGCAGGCGTGCAGATGGTAGGCCTTCATAGCATACATCAATGTATGTATGAATAGAAGCGTCCATTTCGTCATCGTCTTTTCGAAGATGATGATCATGGTCGTACTATTCATACATACATCGATGTATGTTTACCTAACCATTGCCGGCTTTGTCCACTGTGCGAGCCAGCAGAATACGGTGGGTATCTCTGGTCGCGCGTGCGCGAAAGTTTTGCAGCTACTTGCTTCGGCGAGCTTAGATTTCAAGACGGGCAATTTATTTTCTCTTTAAAAACGACAAAAAAAACAATTACATTTTCTTTTTTACATTTTCAATGTATGTTTTCACACGGGCAATATTCGGATGATTTGGAGGCAGTGATTTTCCGAAGATATCACGTGCTCTTTCGAGGGATGAAAGCGCTTTCGAGTACTCTCGCATGTTATAATAGACCAAGCCGATGTTGTTGTAGGATTGAGCAAAGTCGGGATGATTCGGAGGAAGAGTTATTTTACGAATTTCAAGTGATCGTTCATACGATGAAAGTGCTTTCGAGTACTGGCCCATGTTTTTATACACATTACCGATGTTGTTGTAGGAAGCAGCCAAGTCGGGATGATTCGGAGGAAGAGCTATTTTACGGATTTCAAGTGATCGTTCATACGATGAAAGTGC